CCCCCCCCCCCCCCCCCCTGCTATTTACATTAAAGACAATTCCTTTTCAAGCAAACAGCTATGACTGTGGCTGAGTTTGATTGCATGGTAAGCATATTTTGCATAGTATTGCCACAATTTGTAACAGCAATGACTATAATATTTTACAGTGAAACCTCTCAGTTAAGCGGACCGCCAATTAAGTGGACACCCTGTCTTAAGCGGACACTAAGCCAGGTCCCAAAACGGACATCTGATATTTCCCTTTATAACTGAACCCCTATTAAGCGGACCGGACACCTCTATTAAGCCGATGCGGACGTGGACACTAAAATAAGTTGTATTTGGCTAATTTCTATTGTTAAAAACCTCTATTATAAAGCAGACACCGAACTGAATTGACAATAGTAGTATTGGATTACGTCCTTGAAATACGTACTGAAGTCAGTTAATGTTTTTGCATTTACAAACAAATTAAAGTTGGTAATGAAAGGTAATGAACTTGAACTCTTGATGGCTTCTTTAACAACATGCAACTTTTCACAGTACAGAGTAACCGTTAAATGTTGATCATTTACAAACATTGTGCAATTTTTAAAACCTCTATTAAGCGGACACCCTCTACTAAACAGACACTTGGGAAGGTGCCAAAGGTGCCCGCTTAACACAGGTTTCACTGTAATTGATACAATAATAATGTAATAGTAATGATTATAATTATTATAATTTACATTATTAGACAAAGAAATATTTTTAAACTTTCAGTACTAGTATTCTGAACATCAGTCATGTTCTTAAACTACTGTTGTAAATGGTGACATTAACATGTATGACATTTAGTTTGCACAGAACTTGAGCAGGGCAAAAATTCCCAATTTCCATCAGGTACTGTACAGAACCTCTGTTAACTGACACGTCCTATAAGCTTACATGCACCTCTTACTAACAGACACTAACCTGGGTTCACAGCAATTAATTTCTATGTTAAAAATCTGCATTAATCCAAATCTTTTCTTAATAACAAACATCCATATAGATCGATCAAATCAGACCTAAAATTCTTTGCAGAATAGTTGCCCACATGATAGATCATAGCTATAGCAAATACTCCTCTCTATGCTAGTGGTGGATCTAGGGGAGGTGCCTGGGGGGCTCCGGCCCCCCTTATTTTTAGACCAAACTGAGGCCCGAAGGGCAGGAAAAAATCTTTTTGGAGACCGCCCCCCCCCCCCTTATCTCAGGGTCTGGATGACCGCCCCCCTCCCCCTTATCTAAAGGTCTGGATCCGCTAACACTTTGATACTAAATAAGAAAACAAATTAACATATAGAGGGAGAAAAGAGGATCGAGAGTGCACCAAAAATCGATCCACCGGTCAAATCACACAGCCAATAATGCACAAGAAAACTGAAGGGAAGTTTAATGATGATCAAACAAGGAAAACAATCTTACTGTTGAATAATTACTTTTCCATGTTTGTTTTTGCTTCATAAAATTAAATAGCATCTGCTCTACTTGATCAAATGACAGGGCATTTTCTTTTTTTCAAGAATGACATGCCTTTACTGTAAAATAAGTTGAAAGAACAATTACAGCAGAAGAGGCTTTAAGGTATACTTATAAACTAATATTCAAGCAAGACCTCAAAGAAATCAGGGAGTGGGGATTATTTACAGAGAGGGAAGGGCTAATGCAGATGGGAAAATACCATTTCCAAATTCTTTGGACCTTCGGCTCCCCTTTCAGTTTTCACAGGACATATTTTTGACAAGTCAAACAATTAGAAGCCAAGTCAAAACTCTGAGGGGTTACTTAAGTTGAATTAAAAATATTGATTCCACCATTCATTCATTTATGTACTGTTAAAGAAACATATTTAAAAAATCTTGAACAAACCGATTGACCTGATAGGCAACCTTTCCCAAGAAATAACCTGCAGATATCATGTAGATGAAGACTTCATAGTATCAATGGCTTCAAACCAAAATGCACAGTTCAAGCACATTTTCATTTGCAACCTTAATTACAAAGC